ATGGTAGTTGGTTTGATTACGGGACTAAAGGTTTCAAAGAAATCAATGCCTTCTTCTTGACTGAAACCTTTAGCCACGAGTCTAGCCTTGTAGCGTTCAATAGTGCCATCCGAATGCCTTTTGACCCTGCAAATCCACTTACAACCCACAATGTTAGCATTAGATGGATGTGACACAAGTGTCCAGGTGTTATTACACATTAAAGCGCCAAATTCATTTTTCATTGCATTTAACCAAAAGGATTATTGAGGGCTTGAGGGATGTTTCTTGGTTCCGAGGTGGGAGGAGAGACTGTATTTGTGAGAAAAGTTTTAGGTTTGAGAGAGTTGGTGCGAGCACGAGTTATCATATTGTGTTTGTTGTTTGCAACAGGGCGAAAGATGTGTGGGGGGTGTTGTTTGGCTTGGGAACTGTGAGTAGGGCGTCTATGAGATGGACAGGAAGAGGGAGATGATGTGAGTGGAGAGGAGATTGGAGGATTTGAATCAGCAGGGGTAACAGTTGATGGTGGTTTTGACTGAGAGATAAGAGGGGGGGAGGGAGGAGTAGGTGGAAGTACAGAGAGGCTTGCTTGTTGTAAAAGATTAGGGGAGGTAGGTGAAGTGGGAGATACAGTGGAAGGAGATGATTCGGTATGGGACGGGTTAGTAGCAAACGGGAACACTTCTTCATTGAATATAACATGTCGAGAAATGTAGAGTCTGGAGGTGGGGCGATGAAGGCATAAGTAACCTTTGTGAGAGGTGCTGTACCCTAAGAATACACACGGTAGAGATCGAAAATCCAATTTATGGGAGTGGTAGGGACGGAGAAATGGGTAACAAAGACAGCCAAAGGTTCGTAAGAAACCATAATCAGGTTCCTTTTTATAAAGAGTAGAATAGGGTGAATGGTAATTGAGAGTGTGTGTGATGGTACGATTGTGAACATAAGTGGCTGTTTTGAAAGCGTGTTCCCAGTAGTCATGGGGTAGGGAGGAGTGAGCAAGTAACGACAAGCCTTTTTCAATGATAATTCGATTTCTACGCTCAACAAACCCGTTTTGTTCGGGAGTATATGGGTATGCAATACGGTGATTAATGCCAGAGGCAACGAGATAAGAAGAAACATTCCGGTATTCACCTCCCCAGTCTGATTGGAAGCTTTGTATTTCACATCCAAATTGAGTTTTTATCATTGTACGAAAATGAATAAAGGTTTGCAAGACTTGAGATTTGGTTTGAAGAAAATAGATCCACACAAATTTTGTAAAGTCATCAATAAATAACACAAAATAGCGATTTCCATTAATGGATAATAACGGGGATGGGCCCCAAACATCTGAATACATAAGCTCAAAAGGTTTGGAACAGGAAATATGAGAAGATTGAAATGGAAGTTTGTGACTTTTGCCTAATTGGCATGGTTCACAAAATGACAATAATTTATTTGTAGAAATTGGAAGATGAAATGTGGACACAAGGCAGTGAAGAATGGCTTCATGTGGGTGAGCAAGACGGTTGTGCCAGCCGGTCATGGAAGTGCGCACACACGAGAAAGCCATGGTGGAGGTAGGTGTAGGAGAAGGAGGTTGCAAGCGATACAATCCATTTTCAACGTGGCCCTTGAGAATTGGAGTGCCCTGTAAAGTCTTAACCACACAATGATTAGGCCAAAACTCCATGAAAACATTGTTAGCTTGGGTAAGCTGAGAAACACTTAAAAGAGTTTTAGTGAGTCGAGGAACAACAAATACTTTTGGTAAATGCAAAGAAGATAATGAAGTTGAGCCAAAATGAGTAATAAGAAGCTGTTTACCATTACCAACTTGAAGTTTATCATCTCCGGTGTAGCGTTCACTGATTTGGAGCTTGTTTAAGTCAGGGGTAACATGGTCCGTGGCTCTTGTATCAAAGTACCAGGAAGGATCCACAACAGTGGATGGACTGTGATAGTTTGCAATGTTGGCTTGACGAGGTGCAGGTGAGCGTGAGTGATCACGCGGAGGTGGGCGCTTGGAGGGGTAATCAGTTTGATTGCCCCGTTGCCAACAATTGATAGCTTCATGACCGGGTTTGTTGCCCAATTGACAGTGGAGACGACGACGACGATTTTCAGAGGTGCTGGAGTGAGAATTGTGAACTGAATAGTTGGTGGAGGTGTGATTTTTGGGAGACGTGCGTGACACCTGTTGAGCAGAAGGAAAGGGTGAAGAAGGTGTAGGGATTGAGGGCGTGGGTAATTGGGTAGCAGCTTGGCGGGCCACATCTTGATCTATTCGGGCTTCCTCTTGAAGGAGTAAGCCCACGAGATCATCCACAGAGGTGTTCTGTGAATGCATAAGGAATGCAGAGGCAAACGGGCTGTAAGATAAATCAAGACCTTGAAGGATATACTCGATCAGATCATCGTCGGAGATAGGGGTAAGATTGGCAGCCATGGAATCTGCAATTTGGCGCTTGCGGTTAAGATAATCAAGCATAGAAAGTGAACCTTTGGTGATGGTCTGTAGCTGAAGTCGTTGGGCCATGCGATGAGCGCGATTTTGTGCTTGAAACGTGCGTTCTAGTACTTGCCATGCCTGTTGAGAGGAGGAACAGCGGGCAACAGTGGCAAGAGTCCGATCAGAAAGGGTAGATTTCAACCAAAGAAGGACAAAACGATCTCTCTTCTTCCAGGTAGTGAAGTTTGGGTTGGGAATTGGGGTAATATTCTGAATTAGGTCACCAACATCAGCATCTGCAACAGCTTCAGCAACAGGTGGTGGAATTGTTGCTGGTGGCGATGCCGGATTGAGGATGAATGAATCCAAATCGAAGCATTCAAGAGCCGAAATGATGTTTGTGCGCCACAAGGGGTAGTTGTCTCTATCTAATTTGATGCTGATTGGGGGAATTTGAAAGTTTAGGCTCGTAGATGCAAGATGTGCAGCGGCAAGGTGCTGTTGAGTGGTAGCAGCCATTGATGAAGATCGAAAGAAAAAAAATGGGTATCTTACTGCTCTGATACCATAATAGTTTGAAAGACTTGAATTGTAAATTGTGTATTGAAAACTAAACATATACAAGAATTTATACACAGAAGACAAAACTGAAACCTAATTTAACTCCTGATAAACAGGAATAGTGGTACACGAAGGTAATTGACCTAAGGACTAGGTGAAACATTGACTCAGTTACTTTCACTTTATAGCCGTTGCATTTTGTAGACGTTATTAATATATATATATATATATATATATATATATATATATATATATATATATATATATATATATAAACCGGTTTCGGCGGGTACCCATCAGGTAGCAGTTCCAAAAAAATGAGAATTGGAACCGAAACCACTTAAGGCAGTTCCGAGGCGGTTCCGGTTCCAAAAGCGGGTATCCGGTTCCGATACTCATCCCTAACTAAGTGGATGGAATTAAAGGAAAAAGTCATATGGTTCAATCGATGATATAATTATATTAAAGATATGCCACTTTTTTGCGCAGACGATGAAGAAATTTTACAAGTTGTTAAAGAGCATTACATGATGGAGCGTGATGAAAGTGAGTTTGAATATGATGACTTTTGGAATGTAGTGAAAAAAAACTAGTATTTCATGTACACTGTAATATTTTATGCGTAATGTTTGCTACTTCTTTATCTTATTATTTGTAAGGGTTGTCTCATCTGTTTCCATGTATTTATAGTGTTTGTAGTTTCTGGAACAAAGTGTTTGTATCTGTTTCCATGTATTACGCAGACGATGAAAACAACCTAATAAAAACCAATTATATAAAAATAACCTTATACAAGACAGTACATATAAATAACCTTAAAGTAACCAAATACATCTAAATAACCTAATAAAAACCAACTACATCAAAATATCGTACTACAAAAACATTAAAAGTACGCAAGATATTTTATAAGATTCAAAGGGGCTTCATACTCGAATTCCGACCCATCGCTAATGGATTTGTATTCCTCTTTCACCGACTCCAATATCACTTCCTCGTCTGTCTTCATTGAGCCCTTCATCATCAATTTTGTTGTAAAGATCATTGAATAACAAAATTTATGTTTTTACTACATACCATTTAGCTGTGACAACAACGATGTTACGATAGTTTCCTGCAACGATTTGAGGATCAATGTTGTAGGTATAAGTTAAACGGGTTGAAAAACTTGGATCATTCACACTGATGCTCTCGTACACAGTAATATACGCACATGTTAGACGTATGATCTCCTCAGCGCTCCATGGTTTGGAACTATTATGAGTGAAAATTTGATGGTGTCCAGAAAAATGAGTGAAAGAAAGGGTGAAAATTAGATGAAATCATACGCATACTAAAGTGAATTTATAGTAAAATATTAGCATTGCGGATCGAACACTATTTGATACAAAGTACACGAAACAGTACTGCGGAATTAACAGTACTTTGCTGCGGAGTTGATGAAATAGTAATGCTAATCGAACCAGTGCTGCGGAATCAATAGTACTTTGCTGCAGAATTAACAGTACATTGTAGGAATACTAGTTTTTTTTTTTTTGTCTTATACAAACTTCATAACAAACACATTTTAAAATAAACATCATTCATTCAATTTTCGTAAAGAGTTGGATTTTTTTTATTTACAATATGAGTTCATCTTCAAATTTCTATAGTTGCATTCGTAGAAGTTGGTGCATTGGAGACCATTTCTATATTTTTCAATACCGGGGTGAGTTGATACAATATTTAACCAGTATGACAATTTATACACTGATCCATAGAGGTGTACATTGATCCACAGAAGTGTACACCGATCCGCTGATAACTGTTCTATGGATTTCCAAAAAGTTGTATGGACTGATATTAAAGAGTTCATTATTTTTATCTTTTTTTTTTTATCGATTTTTTTACATAACAATGAGATAGTTTTTTCATGGTCATTTATTTTTTCAAAGAAGCCTTTTTTTTTTTTTTTTTTTTTTTTTTTTTTTTTTTCATTTACCGACTTTTCTCAATTTTCTTTCCTTTGTTTTCTTTCCTTTGTGAGTAATTTTGTCCCAAAAAGGGACCTGATTTGGATGCTGCTGTCGCTGTAATCGCATTCTGTCTTTGAATGCCGATGAGAGGTGGAAGCACTGCTTTGTTACGCATGCGTCTTCCTTCCACTCCTACTCACAAAGGTACTCTTCTATCCAGTTCCTCTTCCTCAATCAACCCTTCGTTTTTATTATCATTAGGGCTCCATAATTCCATCGACAATAATCAATTATCCTTAAATTCAAATCCAAAATCGCTTTCAACCACACCTGCAAAATCTGATCGAATTGGTAAAACCATCGATAACCTCGACGATGATGAGTTCTCGTTTCATCAAATGATCCATAAGAAGCCTCTGCCATTATTAAGCGAATTCAACAGACTCCTCGTAGTAATTGTGAAGAAGAAGCGTTACTCCACAGCGATTTCCTTGATCAATCAAATGTTGTTCTTGCGAATATCCGTTGACGCGTATATGATGAACATTGCGATAAATTGTTTCTCTCATTTACGAAGAATCGATCTAGGGTTTGCTATGTTGGGTTGCATTGTGAAATGTGGTCATGAACCACTTGTGTCTACTTATAATACTCTATTAAAAGGTTTAGTGTTATCAGATAAGGCTTTTGAGGCTGAACATTTGTTCAAGAAGCTGATCAAAGAGAAAATCTGCGAACCCAATGAAGTTACATATGGGACAATCATGAATGGGATTTGTAAAGCTGGAAACACTAAAATCGCCATTGAATTACTTACATTTATGGAGAAAAGAGGTTGTAAACCTAACAAGGAAGTATACACCACAATCATAGATAGTTTTTGCAAGGAGAAAAAGGTGGATGATGCTTTAAAACTCCTCACAGAAATGATTGATAAAAGAGTTTCTCCAAATGTCATTACTTACAATTCCTTGATTTATGGTTTGTGTAGTGTAAACAGATGGGAAGAAGCCAAGAAAATGATTATAGAAATGGATAAAAGAAAGATCAATCCTGATGTGTTTACTTTCAATACATTTATAGATGCATTTTGTAAAGAAGGAATGGTGGAAGAAGCTGAAAGTGTTCTTCATGTCATGATAGAAAGAGGTGAAAAACCAGATGTTGTCACTTATAGTTCATTAATTGATGGGTATTGTTTGAGAGGTGAAATGAAGAAAGCCATGAGAGTTTTCAACACCATGATTGATAAAAAAATCAAACCCAACATCATCACTTTTAACACTTTAATAAATGGGCATTGTAAAAGATCAAACATAGATGAAGCAATGAAAGTTTTCAAGGAGATAACTCATAGGAACTTAGAACCCACAGTTTCAACTTATAGCACTATTTTATACGGATTGTTTAAGGTAGGAAGATGTGAAGATGCTCTAAAACTATTCGAAGATATGCAATTTATACCCCTAACTCCAAATTTCATCACGTATTCAGTCTTATTAGATGGACTATGCAAAAACAATAGAGTCAATGAAGCATTGTCTTTCTTTCGTGATATAATGAAGAAAGGTGTAAACCCTAATGTTGCTATGTACACTGTTCTTATTGATGGTAGTTGTAAAAATGGGAAGCTTGATGTAGCTTTAGATCTTTTTAGTGAAATGTGTTCAAAAGGTTTGAAACCGAATATTGTGACATATAATGCTATGAATAATGGGTTTTGTATAGAGGGAATGATTGAGGAAGCGAAAGAACTTGTTATAAAAATGGAGAAAAATGGTGTTTTTCCAAATAGTTCGACTTATAACATTCTTCTTCAAGGGATTGTGAAGTGGAGAAAACCTAATGATGTGTTGTTACATTTGAAGGAAATGGATGCAAAGGGGTTTTCGTTTGATGCATCTTCGTTTTATTTGCTACTTCATATGAATCCAACAAAAAAACAAGATTGTAACTTTGTTGAATTGATTAGGAAACTTGCACCACAAGATATATTGAAATATAAATTCCGATTAGCGAAATAGCATGTGAGTTATTACATTGTGAGAAGAATGTCTTTTATTTTGGATAAGTTAATAACCGTTGTCTATTTTTTAATAAAGATTTTGACATGAAAGTACTTAAGTTTGTCAAGTTTTGTTGGCTTTGGCTTCGCTAATGCCCAAAGTTTGCTAAGATTTTTCGTTTTTCCCCTTAAGTTTACAAATTTGCAAAAATTAACCTTAAGTATGAAATCAAGTTTGCAAAAAAAAAAAAAAAAAAAAACTTAAGTTTACAAATCTGTTATGTTTTTACTCTTAAGTATACTTTTCAAATTTGACATGAAAGTGGTTAAGTTTGTCAAATTTTGTCAGTTTTGTCCCTATGATGATTTTTGTGCATTAATGCCCAAAGTTTGCCAAGTTTTTTTTTTTTTCCCTTAAAGTTTTACAAATTTGCAAAAAGAAGAAAAAACCTAAAGTTTGAAATCAAATTTGGAAAAAAAAAATTTAAGTTTACAAATCTTTTATGTTTTTTACCCTAAGTATATTTTCAAATTTGACATAAAAATCCTTAAGTTTGTCAAAATTTCTTAGTTTTGTTCATGAATTTTTGTTTGTTAATGGCCAAAGTTTGCTAAGTTTTTTTCATTTTCCTCCCCTTAAGTTTACAAATTTGCAAAAATTAACCTTAAGTATGAAATCAAATTTGCAAAAAAATAAACTTAAGTTTATAAATCTTTTATCTTTTTATCCTAAGTATATTTTTTAAAGAGTAAATTACACGAATGGTCCCTATTGTTTGGGGTAATTTGCATGCTTGGTCCCTAATTTATTTTTTTAACTCGGAAGGTCCCTACTGTTTGCTTTTGTTACGCGTTTGATCCTAACTGTTTATTTTTGTTACGCGTTTGGTCCATGTCTTATCTAAAAAGACTATTATTTAAAGAGGAAAAAAATTATGGGGTAGGTGAGGTAAGGTGAGGGGGTGAGATTAGGGGTGTGCTTATTTAAATAAATTAAAAAAATCAAGGGCATAATAATCTTTTTAAGTAAGATAGGGACCAAGCGCGTAACAAAAGCAAACAATAGGGACCTTCCGAGTTAAAAAAATAAGTTAGGAACCAAACGTGCAAATTACCCTAAACCATAGGGACCATTCGTGTAATTTACTCTTTTTAAAATTTGAAATGAAAGTCCTTATGTTTGTCAAATTTTGTTAGTTTTATCCTCGGAAACTTGCCAATACAGGTAACAAGGGCAAAAAAAAAAAAAAAGTTGTAAACTGTGGACATTAACGAACAAAAATTTGTCACAGGGACAAAACTGACAAGATTTGACAAACTGAAGGACTTTTATGTCAAAAGCCCTTTCTTATATGATGTCAAAGTGTATTAAGTGTATCTTTTTTTACACATGCAGGCTCAGTTTCTACTTTTCTAATGGTCATGTAGAACTGTTAAAGGGTAAATTAGTCATTTGTTGTAAATCTGTAATGCAATTGAGAGATTTGCTTGAGATGTAGCTTCTTAAAAACCCAAACATAGAGGATTATAAGGGTTGAGGTAATTTTTTTTTTTTTTTTTTTTTACTGTAAATAAATGTTTGACTTTTCTGCAAAATGTAAACTTTTTTATGTTATTTTCATTCAATATTGCCTGGACAAATGATGTTTTAACTTCAGATGACAGCATGTTGCATAGGATGTCCCTGCAAAACTTGAAACTTGAAATGACTATTATACCCCTTTAATTTATTTGGATACTCTTTTAACATGCAAAGTCTTTTTGATTGTGGTGTGTCAACATACAAACTGCCTTTAGTTTCTGAAATCGTAAATTCCCTTTGTTCTTTGCAGGTTAAAAAATTTGGATGATAAGGATGTGAGGGCATTTATGTCTATTGCCACCTTTTTGGGTGGGACAAAAAGTTGCAAACCATATTATATTGTGGCATTGGAAAGTTTTAATGGGAGTGGATTTGTACATAGTGAAGGGATAGTTGTATAGAAAGTGGAAATAAACTTAAAGATTGCGATGAAGAAATGGTCAATGTCATAAAATAGTAAACCCAATTTTATATTTTGTTATGCTTAGATAACTCAAATCTTTTTAAGAGTTTCAACCACTAGATTTTCAATTTTGGTCGATATTAAAAATATTTGTTCACATGTTTTGCTTTTGTGGAATTTTGTAATATGTTTTATCTTTTACAAATTAATGTATGTGTAAATATTCTAGACGTGCCATTTATATATATCTTTTTTTTTTTTTTTTAAAACATGGAATTTATAAAATATCCAAACCTAAAGAAAAGGTCAAAGAGTTTGAGTCTTGACGTGCGTTTTGATTGTAATATGGATTGATATACTTATGTGCATCGGGAAATTATATATGCCAATCACGTGTGTATATATATATATATATATATATATATATATAATATATATATATATATATATATATATATATATATATATATATATATATATATATATACTAGCCGTTACCCGCGCACAGCGGCGGGGACAAATAGCTTCTTTCAACGATATTTTTTTAAAGAAAAATGTTATGTTCCAAAAGAAAGTTCATGTCGTGGGTGAGAGGAAGTGCGGTAGTCGTGATAGTGGTTGATTGAAGGCGAAAGGAGGCAGAGCGGCTGTGGTGGTGGTGGTTATACTGTCTTGGTTACTGGTTAGGGTTCTTCGAGAGAGTGTGCGTATATTTCTTACTTTGAAGGGATTACGAAGATAGATATTATGAGATTATTTGTTACCAATGTGAGAGAAGACATCCTCTATAAATTGTTGACATTGACCGCTTCAAATGGTTGAAGTGTTGAGATTGACGGGTTCAATTTGCAAATGAATTCTTCTATTAATTTGATACGAGATTTTTAAGGGATAAATAATATGGTTAAAGTTTTAATATTATTATATTATAAATGGGTTGTACTTCAAGCTTAATAGTTTGGAAGTCTTAAAAAAATAATATTATTATATTCAATCTATTTATAGAAATAGTTAGATTTCTTTTACAAGTAGTATATATATATATATATATATATATATATATATATATATATATATATATATATATATATATATATATATATATATATATATATATATATATATATATATATAAAAGGAGTTGTTCAAATGAGAACCTATATATATATATATATATATATATATATATATATATATATATATATATATATATATATATATATATATATATATATATATATATATATTGTTCAAATGAAAACCTAAAAAGATTAAGAACCGTAAAAACCATCTTTTTTAAAATGTTATCATTATGAACATTTTAGATAAATCCAACATCTATATTATATTAAATTCTTTTTTCCATTATCTAATTTATAATTAGTTGTCATTTGTCATCGGACCACCGTTGCGACCGAGAACACATTTGCAATTAATAAAAACGAAAACTATAAAAAAAAATTATGCGAAGAAAACATAATTAAGTATGTGGGGTAAGTCCTTTGCAATTCGTATATCAAATGTGATTTAGAAATGTCAATATTGAACATAAAGCTCTGTGACGATTATACATATCAAATAGACCACAAAAGTATTATAATCAAGTTTTGATAGTTTTCTTATGGAAATTAATAAAACGAAAATAATAAAAAAGTTATGTAAAATACAAAAAAAAAAAAAAAAGGTTGAATACCAATAATTTAATTTTAAATTTATGAAGGTTGAAAAATGTTATATTAAGTTTTCATGAGGGAAAATGTAAATATGAAAAAAATGCTATGAACAGAAGTAAAATCATTATTTCCAAAACGAAGCTTATTTTTCATTTGTATTATATGATGAAAGAATTGTAATAAGATTTGATTTAGTATATATATATATATATATATATATATATATATATATATATATATATATATATATATATATATATATATATATATATATATATATATATATTAGGTTATAACTCGTAGACACCACGGATAAGAAAATTAAAAATAATTTTATTTATAATAATACTTAATAATTGAAGAATGATAATAAAATTTTTAATAAGTAATAAATATAAATGTCTTATAAGTCATGTGATAGTGATATTATGATTCATTAAAACTATGAAAACATAATGGTTTTAATATCCTATCGACAATCTATGTTAGGAAAATATCATTTTTGTAGAATTGAATCAAAATTGAAATAAAATAAAAACAAAAAGTTGATATAAACAATAAAATTGTATAAAGTTTTTATAAATTTCTAAAATTTAATGAATTATGACAATTAAAATCATAATTATTATTCAATTATTTTCAAAAAATTATTAAGTGATAAAGATATGTGATTATTACGTAACTTTATAATGATTGATTGTTTCAAATAAATATGTGATGGTATATTATTTATGTGTAAATTAATAAAAAAAAGATTATATTATATAATGAAATATAAAACAACCATAACTAATGAAGTGATTGAAAATTAATATATGGAAAAATACAAATTAATTCATTGCAATAAACATATATTAAAAATATACAACAATGTACTGATGAAAATCAAGACTAAAAAATATCATAAATAAAAATACCATTTTTTTTTCATAGATTTCGAAACACTTGTATACAACCTTGGAAATTATATTATAAATTTATCATCATTATCTAAAATTTATAATTTTGATCATTATCTATTTTGAACTCTAGATTAAGCGATGATTATGTGTGAAAAAAAATTGTTTGATAAACAAATTAGCTAACATTGGATAATGATCCTTAATAATTGTAATTGCAAAACATATAATAATTATCATTGCAAAACATAGGGCTAATGAAAAATATCTCCATTGAAATCTGAAAAGTATTAGCTGGAGTCTCATATTGTCATATAACAAACAACGTTTGAATAGTTTATTTCCAAATATGTCATATTTCATATTTGGTACTACACATGTTACAAATCAAACATAGTTTAATTTTTATTTACTCAAAAAATTCAACCAAATATCAATCATAAAACCAATAATCCAAAATAAATCTGCCAACAAATCATAAACAACAAAACTGTAATTAAATAATTTAAAATTAAAATTAAAATTTAAATTGTATGTTCTTTTCACCTAGTAATGGAAATTGAATGTTTTTGCTAGCACATTGGGTATGAGTCGTATGACACCTAAACACAAAGCCATTTCCACTGTACAATTTCCCTAATCAAAATTCATTTCCAAATGAAGAAGAAAGTTAAACAGAGGAAATTCAGAACTTCAGACTGTAACCCTACATCTATGTGTTCCCATCTGTTTTCTCTCCCGCGAAACCGACCAAATCCACTCATCCAAAAGCCTATATTCCCACTCATATGCCATTACCCGCCATCGAACACCACAAGCAACACCACTCCGGAGTCATAACCGTAGAAATTTCCCTCGCCAAATTCATTGTCATTGTCAACACCACCGATCAATCAAGATAAAGCGACGAAGAGAATCCCCCGAATCAAGTTTCCTCAGCGTCTTCTGGCGCCTTCTGGTTTGTTTTTGTAACATCCCAAAATTCGTACCAAAATTTTTTCTTTAAATCATTATCAAGGCCATATTCATAAAAACATATTGTAAGTCATAACATAAATTCAGAATATTAATTCCAAAACATATTTCATTATCAGAGTAAAACATCTCAGGCTGACTAATCAATGGTGTGTGCCATGCGATCACCCCAAGCTCTTCCCTCCGCTACCGGAAGTACCTGAAACCAAAACTGGAAACCGTAAGCACGGAGCTTAGTGAGTTCCCCAACCTACCACATACCATGCACAAACACATACATCATATACTGGGCCACGTCCGCTAACCACATATAGTACAAAATAGCATATAACACATAATTAAACATACCCTACTACATTCTTATCCTTAGGCCTCGCCTGTCTTGGGCCTCGCCCTGTCCTGTTACTAGTGAGTCATGAAACCCTGTCCAAGCTCCTACGGTAAGTGAGATACGGGCCCACGCCCACACTCACTCCATGCCTATCTCAGGCCCCGCCCATGCTCTGCCACTAATGAGATGTGGAACACTGTCGATACTCTACTATTGGTGAGATACGAGACCTCGCCCACACTCACCTTCCTACCAGGCACGTACATGCATCACACAGACAACAAGTATACTATATCATGCAAACCATTCCTTTGGCACCTGCCCGACATTCGACCTTGGTCCCGAATATCATACTAGAAAATAATGCTTAGGGCTAATCCCTGGGTCTTCCTACTCATAACTACATGGGCCGACATTGTGTCCGTAGACCCATTCACACAAAGGGAAACTCACATGCACTTCTGAACTTGATGATAACCCTCTTGTTGCTGACCGGAAATTCTCTGAACCGCTGCTCCACTAGCTCCCCGAGCTACCAATATCAATACATATGTCACCTAGTTCTAACTGAACTCTAGAAGCTAAACTAAGTCAACTCTGGTCAAAGTCAATCTTTCTGGCTAACTCTACTCGCTGAGTCATTCCTTTGACTCGTCGAGTATATATACTCAGAACTATCATAATGCGACCCAACTCGCCGAGTCACCCCAAGACTCGTCGATTTCAACGATCTCTGAGTCCCATCCTGTTTAACTCACCGGGTTACCATTCAACTCACTGATCTGAGCCTTAACCAGAACGGGTTAGTGTTTTGCGACCTGACTCGTCGAGTCCAAGAACAGACTCGCCGAGACCATGACAATCTTCAACAGACTCGCCTAGTTGTTCTTCCAACTCGTCGAGTCCGTGCCCATCTTCATCCAACTCGCCGAGTCACTTCAGTTCTTAATCCATAAAGTGGCTTTTCGAGCCATGCAGGCGCTCCAACTCATAGATCCACCCTTCCCAAGTGTATTCCTCACGTAAAGTTGGAAATTTTACGTGAAACAAAAGAGATATGGGCTTAAAACACTCTAGGGCTAGCATTTGTGACCAAGGGGCTTCATTAACAACTTATTGACATAAACTTTATGGCTTTCTGGATCCTTAATAGCCTAGATATGAGGTAGTAACCTCAGATCTACTCCAAACTCGGAATAAACCTCCTCCATACTCAAAATGCCCAAATATCAACCGTAAGATAGATCTAAATGCAATAAGGTTAGCTTATTACCTTAAAGGATCTGAAAAGTCACACCAACTATGTATCCAAGGCTTCCTCTTGCACCACTATGAACCTCCTTCTCTTCCAAGCTTCA